GACACTCATCATTCATACAGGAAGTGATGAAGTTATGAACCGACACTCAGAAATCCCGAAGAAGGATTTTATTCTGCTGCTGAAAGCAGAATAGTCACAGAAAATGGAAATGGAACTAGCACTTCACTACTCCCCACCTCTCCTATACACATTCAGTCTTTATTTCTTCATCAAAATAATAAAGCATAAAGTGAACAGTTACAAACTTTTATTGGAATAAAAAAGAAAAAAAACTGAGTGATATAGAGCTTTAATTCAAATGGGCTTGTTTTGGGGATTTTTATATGCGAACAATAAATTGATATTTTCATAATCTTAAGCAGACAATGGTTTGGTCCTTCCTGAGCCCCCTAGGTTGGGTAACCACTGAAACAGTGCCTATTACCTGCCATGTTGCATTGAACGTTTTGAACAAAGATCTTGTGATATCAGGTTTTAAGTACTGGAAATGATTCTTAGGTAAAACTGTGACATCTTTCAGCTCATCTATAATTTTTTCATCTCCAACTTCTGACACTTRTCTGTAGTCGGGTCACAGAGGCAAGAGGTCCAGGAGAGAAACACTAACATCTCTCTCCCGAGCTACACTTTCCAGCTCATCCTGAGGGACCCCAAGACATTTCCAGGACAKAGAGAATACATAATCCCTCCAGCAAATTCTAAGTCTTTCCTGGGACCGCCTACCAGTGCCCAGAACACCTCTAAAGGGAGAAGTTCTGGAGGCATCCTAATCAGATGCTTGAACCACCTCAACTGACTCCTTTCAATGCGGAGGAGCAGCGGCTCTACTCCGAGCTCCTCCGGATGATGGTGCACTTCACCCTATCTCCAGCGCTGAGCTCGGCCACCCTAYGGAGGATGCCTTCTTTCTATCATGATCCACGCCTCATGACCATWGGTGAGGGTTGGAAGGTAGGCAGACCAGTAAATCAAAAGCATTGCCTTTCAACTCCATCATGACCAACCGGAGCAACACCCTCATTACTACGGATGAAGTCACAATCCCTTGATCCATCTTCCGCTCCATCCTACCATTATTCATGAACAAGACCTAAACTCCTCAACTTTAGGGCAGAGACTACCTCTACTGTAGTTTTACTGGTTTTGTGTTTCCTAAGCTCAACTGGTAGTCAGTTTAAATAAAACTGATCTAAAAAGTTAATTAGTTGTAGATGAACAATTAATGGTTTGTTTCACAGTTTTGCTCAAATCTGGTCCATGAGAAATTGTGTACAGCCAGATRARGTTTACTTTAAAATYGAATGTGWTGAGAATGATTCTCAGCTTCTACCAAACCAATCTTTAGCTCAATATCTATAAACTTAACTGAGATGGAGCCATTCTTTTGTGTTTGCTAAAACTGATTAGCTGCGGCATCAGTCGTGAATTAGGTTAGCCACCAAATATAGCTGTTTGTACAGTTATGTCAAGTGATTATTCTGGGATTTTTATTAACATCTCTGCACAGGATCATGGGATATTTTGCGAACAGASAGAAAAACAAACACRTGCAGCCTTTCATAGCAGCAAACAATAATGTTTATTATGAAGGAGTGTTAAAGAACCAGAACACCCCTGTCTTGTCAACTTCAGTTCATGTTATGTGATGACATTTGTACATTTTTTKGGGTTGTTCTCGTCCCAGATTTCTGCCTCAGCTCAGGTCAGACTCACCTGAAGCCTAAAGCATGCTTGACTCAACTGAGATCATCCCTCTCCTCAGGCAGGTGGTGCATGTGAGGGATGAGGGTGGGGGACCAATGGCAGGAAAGCTGAACAGTGACATATGTGTGGAGTAAAAACGCACAGAGAGGGAACGAGGACAGAGAACATTACGATCTGGGAATTAATCTTGTGAATAAGGTTAGCGGGCCATGAGAGCGCAGGTGGCTTTCATTTCCACATGGGAAAAACAAACTCTCTGCCCTCCTCCCTTTTGCCTACTTTCTTTTGCTTTAACTCCTCCTTCTTCTTCTTCTTTCTGGCCATGTCTAGATATAATCTTGCCTCATTTTCTTCGTTCAKCCGAAAGACATTTGCAGAACAATGACCGAATTGTTGTACTTAAACATCAGCTTGTTTGTCCTTCACTTCCACTCTGCCTGAACATGATCCTCACCTTTTTCTCATTTCCTCCACTGTGAGGCCAAACACTGCAATYGGCAGCACCGCTCTTCTAATCCCTACATACTCTCACCCCAGTTACAATCTTACAGTGGCTGACGTAATCTGTACATGTTTAGAGGCTTTGACCGAGGGTTCCTTCACAGTCAGCGTGACCCCCGAGTTTTGGATGTTTATGTTGGAGCTGCCCTGGATTTACAGACGCAATGTGATGTTGATGTTCCTCCTCCTCCTCTTCCTCCTCGTGGGCCTTCTAGCTACACTGCGTCACCAGACGTTTTCTCCCRACTTCAGAGCTTAAGATTACATGCATATCTTTGTCACACCCAAACTTTATATCGACCTGATTAAAGGCTCCTCCTGCGTGARCCTGAGAATTACACGGAATGCACGTTAATCCGCTTCAGTCGTAAAACTCCCAAAGCGTCCCATAGCTCAATGAGAAGACAGAGTAAAAGCCTGTGTTTTGCGCACATCCAGATTTCAAAGCAACACGTTTATCTTTATGCGTCCTAAAAGATATAATAATGACTTCGATCATTTTAAATTGCATGTTTTATTKCATATCAGAATATTACAGTTCCCTACTCAAAGGAGGGTGGGGTGTGGGGAGCGCTGACTGACTGAAGGAGCTACATGATAAAATTATATTTCTGCAAACTATCTGATTTCGGTGGGTTAAAAAAAGCAGCACAAATGACAGAAAATGGCGCAGCTGTTTGGCACTTGGATGAGCTCAGTGGTTCGTGTGAGAGTCCTGCTGTGGATGGAGGACCAGCCCCTGAGCGTCAGTAACGCAGGAGAAAGCATCCGGGGGAATGGTGTCCACCTCCAGGAGATTGTTTTCCAGGTGGACTGAAGCCAAGGTGGAGCCGGAATTACGAGGGTGACACACTCCCCATCGCCTGACCTCCCTGTGGCCACAACACACACACACACACACACACACACACACACACACACACACACACACATTTAAACATTTAAATATAGAGGAAGCAGAGG